AATTATACTCAATGTCACTCGCAATGGAATCATGAGCCTCTTCTAAAACCAACGCGGGAGTCTTCACTGCTATCCTCGCCAACGCAGGCTTGAGCCAATCCATAGCAGTCTGTTCCTTCTCATTACCCGACGTGAACTGGAACAACGTGCATAGGAACCACATGTTCCGGAAGAGAGCTACGAGGTCCGGCGAAGGTGACAAATGGGGTTTGCAATCCGGGTGGGTGAGGAGTGCATCGATGGGGAGAAGGAGCGAGGCGAGTTGTTCAATCATGTCGTCCGTCTGTATGCGGTGGTTGAGTGGAAAAAACGGAGGAGAGTGAGGGAAAAGGACAGACCTTGACATGATGATTCGAAATCGCCACATTCTGTATCGCAATTCCCTTATCTGCAAAGAGCGATAACAATTCCACAAGATAATCATCATACAAATCCGGTCTCCTATGCAGCTCTTGCGCAAGCCTTGTCTGCGCGGCCAGTACCTATACATACCCCCAAAGAGGGTCGTTAGTTTTCTACCCTGAAACTTAGAACGACGCTTAACGAGAGGAGTTGGTACCATGTTGTTCGAGAACCTCGGGTCGTCTGGATTCGCGGATCGGTTGATGGCCGAGAATGCTCGAACGATATCCACAAAGGCATTCTCTGGAGCCGACAGTGCTAGGTCGACTAGGTTGTATGCTATAGCTGCTTCTACCGTCGGTTCGGCGGAGCGGAGGCGTTGAAGGAGCATCGATATCGTCAATCGGGTCACCTATAATCAAGAACGGGTTGGTGTCTTGGGGGATGGAGAACAAGCACGGCACAAAACACACCTCATCCATCTTAAACTCCAAAGCCAACTTCGCAACCACCGAAATCGTACTAATCCCAATAAGCCGCTTCTCATCCTCCGAATACCCGCTCAACCCCACTGTCACTGAATGTAACGTCCCATGTTCACTTCCCGTCCCATCACCATTGACATAGTGCGAAATATTCATCATTTGAGAAGCGGAAGAGGATTCGTAGATTTCCTTTGAGGTAGCTGCGATATAGTTGAGGAGGGAATACATGTTTGACATTATTAGGTCGTCTCCTGGTGCGAGCTATGTGAGGGGCGGAATGGAGTTAGCGTTGATGTTGACGTTGTGGTGACCAGAGGAGAAGGTTAGGTTGATGGATACCGGGAGAGAAGAAGTGAATAGAAAAAGGAAAGAAGACCCACCCGGATGCAAAGACCCAAGCATTTCGCAGCAGCGGCAAGAGGAGGAGGCGCCCTCGTCTCAGCCGCAAACTCAAACTCGAATATCAAAAGTGGCGAAGTGACAAATCGACGTAGGTGACTAGCCATTTCCGCTGCCATCGATGGGAAGCTAAAGGCAGCCAAATAAATAAAATGTTCCATTCACAACGGCCACAGAGATGACTCAGGGCGCAAAGGTTGTCAAATGGAAAGAGACGTGAACAGGAGCTTACTTTCGGACTAGGATAGTTGTAGCTTTCAACGCAGCCTCTTGAACAAGCGCATCAAAAACCGGCGACTCATCACTCAACAACAACTTCAGCCTCGAAAACAGGTTCTGGTCAAGTTCTCTAAGCGCAACCGAACACACGGAGACCAGTTTCTAAGATCCCAAGAAGGAGAAAATCCACAATAATCAGCCAAAAAAAAACAAGAATAACATAGGCCGACAGTGGAGGTGAATAGAACTTACCAAGCTCTCAGAAAGCGTCTCCCAAACATATGAATCTCCCCCCGGCTCACTTTCCATCTCCTCAATCTGCACCAACAAATCCGTAAACCCCTGCATCACATACCCAACAGTCTCCTTCAACGCCTCCTTAAACACCCCCCTCACCCCATTCAAATCCAACCCTACCGCCTGATGCTTCATCAGCGAGTTCCAAGCCTTATTCGCGGCCCCCGCCTCCGTCACGAAATTCTTCGCAGCCTCAGCAGGTGAAGGTATAGAAGAAGGCGCCAAAGCCTGAGAAAGCACAGTCCACTCCGCCTCCACAACGCAACAAACGATAAAATACCCGCTCAACGGTCTTCCCCTCGAAACATACCTAGCCAAAAAGGTATGTATGAACTGTAAATTTTCGGGGTCCGTTTCTTCTGCTTGTAAAACGTCGACGATGAGACGGTTTAGGCGATCGATGAGAGAGGGTTCGAAGAGCGCGTTGAGGTGGTGGGAGAGAGTCGCCCATTCGAGGGAGGTGTAGGGGAAAGAGGTTGTTATTAAGGCACGGTAGAAACCGTGGAAGGAGGGTGCGTAGTGGGTCAGGACTGAGGAGCCTGTGGGGCAGGAGTGAGCGTTCGAGAAGGCAATGGATGGAAGGGAGGGAGGGAGGGAGAAGAGGGGAAATGGGAGGAGAAAGAGTGGGACGTACAGTTCTCGGTATTGAGGCATTGGACAATCTTGGCAGTGAATGAAAATATAGCGTCTATAGCTGTAGTACGATATTCTGGGTGTGCGGACGAGATCCTGAGGAGAGCGGAGATTGTTGTATAGACGAGTTGGTCTGGTAACGACCATTCTGTGAATAGATACGACATTAGTCGATTGCATGGAATGTCGTTGAAAGGAGATGGGACTTGCCCTCCCATGATAGAGATTGGTCGAAATCAATGTAGGGCACGTCTCGTAGGATGTCAATGAGGACGGGTACTGCGCTGGCAAGGTGCACGTCCGGGAGGTTCACTGCCAACTCTCCAAAGCCAATATTACATTGAACTCTCGATGTCGGCTGGAAGCGATCATGAGTTCGTGCAAATCATGCAACAAAAGTGAACACATACCATAAAGACACGTTCCTCAGCGCCATCCTCTTCTTCACCGTCTTCTTCGTCTACTTTCTCGGCCGTAACAGCTCGCGTCTCGACTTTGGACGTGAACAGCTCGACAGCGGTGGAGATGTCAGTGTCGTCATCGTTTGACTCTCCGATGTTGCAGGCGAGGTCAGATAGGATGAGCTGGTGAATATTCAGCTCTAGGCTACAAGGGTATCAGTATTGTCGTGCGTGCCAGATGCGAAATACTTACCAGTCCATGGTGCTGCAGCTCGACCGAACCAAGTTCTTGTGCTGACTTCAAGGATGGAGAGGATGGAGATGCAATTACCCGAAATGGGTTTTGATCGGAGTATGAACCAATCAACGGCAATCTGGAGCACAGCCACAGCTCCTTCCTCCCCTGTCACCAACCATACTATCGTTGCCCCCGTAATGCAAGATTTTCTTGCATTGCCTACCGTTCCTCGTTGCTTGATCCGTTGGCTCTAAAATTTTTAATCCATAATGTATACTACACAGACATGACCCCCACAATTTCTTGCATTTTTTCATTGGCTTTGACGAGCAGGGGAGGGCTGCCGCGCCAGGCATCAGTTTGACCCCTGAAGTGCAAGAAAAATCACGGTTTGTCACGCGGCTTTGCGGCCAAATTTGAGCTCCGTCTGGAGGCTGTTCCCGTTGCCTGCTGCCGGATATTCAATCGGACCTTGAAAATATCTTGCATCCCGTGTCACGCTTGCTCCGCCCTTCGCATTAGATGGTTTCTACAATATTCAGGACCTCACTTTCTCCAAAATAAAAATCGGGATCGTGAGCACCATATCATCCGTGAAACAACTCTTGATTTATGTAGGTCTGGATCTGAAGTGGAAACGGCATGGTACTCGGTGCAAGATTCTTGCACAGTAACATGGGCCATTTTCGGCCAGTTTTTGATTTCTCCATCATCTTCGACTTGTCCGGTCGACATGTAAATAGGGCATTCTCATTAGTTCCAATAGATAGAATGAACATATTTTTTTGAAGAGGATCGGAGCAGGGAGGAAACCTCAGAAACGAGATCTTGCACTACCAGTCACGTTTGCATTACGGGGGCAACGATAGTATGCACCCCGCCAATACCTCGGGTTCAAATCCTGCTGGACTCATACCGCGCACTTCGACGTTCGACAGCAATTTTCTGGTGATACTATCCCCGCCAACAATACTGCAGGTTCAAATCCTACTGGACTCGTCCCATGCGCCTTCGACGTTCCAAATCAACATTCCGGTGATACTATCTCGCCAGCCATACCGCAGGTTCAAATCCTGCTCGATGCTCGACTCATCCCGCACACCTTCGACATTCCACACCAAATTTCCGGTGATACTATCCCGCCAGCCTCACCGCAGGTTCAAATCCTGCTCAACTCGTCTCGCGCACCTTCGACATCCCAAATCAATGTTCTAGAGAAACCATGCCCCCTCATTTACCCCGGTTCAAGTCCTGCTCAAGTCGTCTCCCACATCTTCGAAGTTCCAAATCAATATTCCGGCGATGCTACCAAATCCTGCTGGACTCATCCCCCCACCTTCGACGTTCCGAATCAATCACCCCGTTTCGTCGATGGTTAACCCCTTCCTTCTACCTCAGACTCATTGTTTCATGTTTCGACTATCAACTCTCCAACACTCGTCACCGTCTGTCCGACATGGGTGCATGGAATGGATGCCGATGATACACTTTCTCTCCCTCTCTCCCCGGACCTTCCACCGTTTCGGTATGAGGCGTGGAACATGTTCGTCTCGCTCGCAGCGTCCTGCAGATGTCCATCTGGTGAGTTGATTAAGGTTCAAAGGGCTGAAACCGGTACCAGGTTACACATTCAGATTGCTTCCAGTTGAACGTTGAACCCCTCCTCCTTGTCAGTTCTTGGTTAAGAAGTTTAACTTCCAGTTGACCCCCATTCAGGGTTCCTTGATGCAATGCTGCACCCCAGTGGCTACGGAGTTTCCTCCGAAACTGACACTTCCTCGTAGGGATCACCTCGATCAGAATCTATCTATCTCTCCGTCTCACTTTAGGCATACTACCAATTCTCCCAAGCGGATAGTTGCAGAAAAGTTGGGATGTCTGTGAGTTATCGAATACAGGCCACTATAGTTCACTCTTATTAACCTCTTCAGCCCTTTGATAATGAAAATAGTGATCTATCTGGACTTCACCTGCATGCTGGTCCATGTCACTATGGCCGAGTGGTTAAGGCGACAGATTCGAATTTCTACTTATCTGTTTCCCTCTGGGAGCGCAGGTTCAAATCCTGCTGGTGACGAGGCCCGAGAGATGTCAACTCTTTTTTGCTTGACTCCCCTCCCAAACTTTTCTTGGCTCACTCTCATTCCAGACTGGTATCTGTGTGTGTCTTTTTATACTTGATCAGTAGTGGTGCAAGCAACAGGTCCCCGACTCCCTTTGCACCCTTAACAGGAGGCCTTAGTGATCCATAACCCAATGGTATGCACATTATTACAGCAGAGTCTTAATCCAACATGGGGGGACAAGTGGAAACAGACCAAACTGGCTGACACCAGTCAAATGGCATACTGTTTTGCCCAAATTCCCATGTGATATGACCTCTGTATTGTTTTTGTGTGTTTGCTACAGACAGAGACCCTTTCCTCACAAGTGAGGAGCCAGGGATTGTTTCTTACCTCTGTAGGTTTTCCCCTCCCCATCTTCTTCAAATCTGAACTTCAACATGGTACTCATTATAGACAGAGCTTTTAACCCCTGGGATTGTTGGACTTGGCAATCAGCAGCCCTTCCTGGCTTTTGTCAAGTTGGTGGGATAATGAAGCAGTAAGTGAAAAGTGGCAATGAAATGACAAAAACAATAGAAAACTTGATTGCAGAATCACTTCAAGGCAGTCCAAGATACACTTTTCTAAGTTAGCAGGAAGGCACATCTGTAACAGTCTGCAGAGCTGGAGGATTGAACTGGCAGTACCAGGACTTGAACTATGGAGACAAAAGAGGATGGGGTCACGTTACCCGCGTCGACTCGGAGATTGCTACAGCACTGCGACCCGATGACCGTGCCGCGTCGCGTCCTCTGCACAAGACCATCATGTCTTCATTCACCAGATCAACTCTCCAACTTATTTACGATCAGTCTCTGCCCCTCGGAGTCACAACTGTCCATTTACCAAGTTTCTCTCAAATATTTCCTGACTTCCCCTCATCGGGCCTACTCTACGTCCTATCATTCCTCACCATCTTGGCGATTCTCTTCCGTACCTTCCCTCGCCGCAAACCCAACGCAACTGAAACTTGTACTATCCTTCGAAATCTTCAAAAAATAATCACGCCAACGCAATCTATATGGTATCCCGAATATGTCAAACTCGCAGAGAGAGCAAGTCTTTCAAGGAGCAAGACACTTACCCTCCCTTTGGATCGGCTCATAACCGATGTAATCGGTGGTCGGACCGAGTTTCGGGACGCAGCACTCCACCTTCCAGACCTGCTTTTACAAAGCGCCCAACGCAGTGAAAGTCCAGTACTGATAGGCGTTCGTATGTCTGCATGGTATCGAGTGGTGACATGGATGTTCACCGCTCGTTCTAATCGCGTACGTCCTCGTAAACTTACCTCGAGCTTGCTACTGAGCATCTACTGCTTTCTCAGTCCGAAAGTTTCTTCGGTTTGTTGTTACTCCCACTCTTACACATCTGCCTTCCCATCTCACCTCCGCTCTTCCCCAATTATGCGCTACTGAAGACTATGTGACAACCCCTGCCAATCCCTCTGATCCCGGAGTTCCCTCGTCTCCCTCCCAGCGCGATTACAATACTCATCCAATGACCTTCGCTAACAACATAATCATTGATCTCGATTTCGTGCCGTTCGCCAATCTAGAGACCATCATCCGCACCCTCCAAACAACTCTCACCAAAACCCAAACTGCCACAATCAATTTCACGACTCCGGGCCCTTCTGTTCAACCCTGGAGCAAATCTCTCGTCCTCACGGCTATACCCATGCTCCCTCGCAAATACCGTGCCTCGTTGCCCGCCCATACTCACGTTCCCAACGTAAAATCAACCCCGCTTCGCATACATCTACATCAAGTCATCGAACTGGTCACCTCTGGTACAACGCCACTTACAGTCTGCTCCGTCCGCAATGTATCAGATCGTCGGGCTGATCAGCTCCATTCCCTTGCTCAAAACTTAAAAGATGATCCTAGTGTGCGCAGTGACTTTGCTGAGGCTCATGGAATGGAGGGTTGGAGGGAAGAGATGCTGTTAACAACTTGGGAGGCTAGTTTGTACAAGGTGGCATTTTTGACGCGGTGGGCAGTCCTTGTGCGGAAGTAGTCTTCTCTATATGTAATTGAAGAGGGCAGGTCATTCGAATGCAGCCCATGCTAATGGTCAGGCTGAATTGGATTGAAGTCCATCGACAAGAATAAAACGGAAGCGTCGACCGCACTCTACGATACGACATCAATACTTGAGAGTCTCCAAAATCCCGTCCAATATCCGGATCGAATCAGGGATATAAAACTTCTCAAACTGCAGTCCGACAGGGGTACTACAGGAACAACACTATTAGCATCAACGTCGAAAACGAGAGTTAAAAGACTTACTCCCAACCAGTGATCCTCTTCACGGGAGCATCCAACTTCAAGAAACATTTATCTTGCACAACAGCTCCAATCTCGGCTCCAACTCCCGCCGTCATCCCAGCTTCATGTACAATAACCAACCGACCAGTCTTCTTCACACTTTCCACAACACTCTCCACATCCCAAGGCAAGATCGTTTTCAAATCTATCAACTCGATGTTGGCCGAACGGAGGGATTGTGGGATGTGGGGCTCGAGAGAGGGTGGGGGAGCGGAAAGCATGTGGAGCGCAGTTTCGCAGTGGTAGAGGGGAGTTCCCCAAGAGAGGAGTGTTAGGTCTGATCCGGGTTTGAGGATGTCGGCGCGGGAGAGGGGGAGCTCGAAGTCGTCTACTGGAACTTGTTCGACTGCAAATGGTGTTAGTGATGGATGATGTGAAAGGTTGGTGAAAACGAACCGGCTGAACGATAGAGGACCTTGGGTTCCATGAAAATTACGGGGTTTGGATCTCGGATCGACGCGAGCAACAACCCTTTCGCTTGGATGGGAGATCGAGGAATGACCACCTAGCCATAATCAAGATCTGCCACGCGTCAAAGCATGGTAAACTGCACCTTCAAACCGGCCGCTCCCATGAAGAAGCCCTCAGGACTTTGAGAGTGGTACAACCCACCATGTCCAACTGACATTGTTGGGCAACGAACAGTCAGTCCTCCAACATCAAATTGACCACCGGAACGATAACGGAATTTTGCCGCTTCGTTTACCAGCTATATGCGCGTTGATTTACATTCTCCGTGGTGCAAAAGATGGGCTGGAAACTCACTTGATCGAAAGCGGGGTATATGTAGTCTGCAAACTGGATTTCGGCAATGGCTGTTTGACCCATAGCTGCGAGTCCTATACCGAAGCCAACGATTCCCTGCTCGGTTAAAGGGGTATTGAAGACGCGCTCCCGGCCTGAGAGATGTTGGAAACAATACGAGTTATTTAGGGGTGGCTACATACCAAACTCTTCAGCAAGCCCCTGATGAAGTACTATCAGAATGAGTGTTTTCTTGGTATGAAGTGACACTTACCATCGTGCAACGAAAGACGCCTCCAAAAGCAATGTCTTCTCCAAAGATGACAGCAGTATCGTCTTTCAACAGTGCGATGCTGGGTTGGTTCGTTGAGTTTCAGATCCACCGACGCACCGAGGCCCAACATACCTCAGTGCATCTCGCACGGCCTGAAAGGTGTTCATCTTCCTAGTTTCTCTACCAGCGACTACATGGCCCGTAAAACCAGAATTGTCATCGATCCACTTTATACCTGGCGTACGTATCGCTGCGTCTCGCGTGGATCGAAGCAGGGTACTGGTAGCTACAGACGGCAGATGCCCGCCCGCAGGAGGTGGAGACGCCGAACTGGACTGCCATCGACGAATACTCTGTGGGCTTGAGATTAGATGACATCACGCAGTGAACATCGACCGTGCCCTCACTTTATGTAGGGCGCGCTGTACGACAGCAGATGTGTTACGGCGGGCGAGCATGAAGAACAACGAAGAGGAAATGACAGGAGGAAATGAAGCAGGCGCTGAACATTATTGAGATCCGTTGAAGGAAGCTCCGGATCTAAATCGTTTTGTGACACCTGAGCGAGGTGGCTAACATCGGCTATTTTTCGAAACCCTGACATGAACAACGGCAGAGTGCGAGTCCAGCAGACCACAAGGACAGTCGTTTGCATGGTCAAATTATAATATTCACCGGTTGAGCTGCCCGGCGACGGTGGTACAGCTCCCACCCATCAGAACTTTCGTGATCTGGCACTGCGCTCGTAATCTCTCCCATGCCCTCAGCGTATACTTGGTGTTCGTGGCAGCACAAATGAACGAGAGCCCCTCCACGTTTATCGCACCAGAAGGTGTTTATTCCGTCACCGAAGAGCACAAACCTCTGCCTTCGCATCTCGTCCCTGCTCCTACTCTATATCCCACAAGAATAACAGCGGTGACTGTTCGGTTTCCGGCGCTAAAGTCTGGGGCTTCGCAGGGTCTTGCCCAGTTACTCGGAGGGAATAAAGATAATAGGAAGGAGAAGGAGAGGGAGAAGGAGAAAGAGAAAGAGAAGATCGCCAAGGAGGACAGTGTCAGCCTTTCCAGCAGCGATACAGAGGCCAACACCTCCCCAGATCCCTCTGGTCCCTCAGATACCGTCCCTCCAACCCCCCAGCTCAGCCATGATCAGCCTCACACGATCTTCTCCCACCCTTTGGGCGGAAAGAGAAAGACTATCTCCCGCCCAAAGCATAATATGCGAACAACCTCTTCGACTTTCATTACCCGCTTGCAGAGTGCCGAAGGTTTAACTAAGACTCTACAGTCCAAGCAGGGTGAAATAACCTTCTTGTTTTATAACTCGTCCAAGAACTTCCTCTGGGCAGAGGCTGGTGCGAAGGCCAAGGTATGCAGTGCTCGCTTGTCTTTCCTGGTACCATGAATGCTTATGAACATTTAGGAACCCTTGGCCAGGATAACATTCACCGCTTATCCCACTTGCCACGATGTGAATATCGCCACAGCGTCACACGAACGAATAGATGTCATCATCGGCTTCAACACAGGCGATTTAGTCTGGTTTGGTAAGTTATCGCCATCCCTCCATGTTGCACGCATCAACTTCAGCTTCCAGATCCCATCTCCTCTCGTTACGGACG